AAACTAGCTAAATGTATGCATGAGACTCAATATTTGGACCAAAAATGCAGTCCTAATCATGACAAATTATGAATATATCAACTCCCCCACACTTGTCCTTTGCTTGTCCTCAAGCAAAAAGAGCAAATGAGAGAAAGAGTTTGGATGCATTGGGAGTTCATATTCCTTAATGAGAGAGTGTATCACTAAAAGAATTCAAGGCTCACTGTCCTAGTTGCTAATTCTAAGATGCATTACAAACAAGATTACTCAAAAAACTTTAGCCATACTTATCAATAAATGAATCAAGCTCAAGCTTAAGTTTTCACAAACAGCCATAGTTCCAACCTTTTAACATTCATTAAAGCTCATGTGAATTATGCTTATGCAAATCATGTGAACTCACTTGTCTTGGGACAGGGTCATGAGACAAAGATGATCTCATTTAATGTTTATGGTTTCCATGCAGCTCAAGGGATCACTCAAGAAGGAATAAACTTTAACAGAATGCTAAGGGTAAAAGGCAACTGGTGCATACAAGAGCAGAATCCCATCTACCCAATGCCCCAAATTGGTCTTTCACCTTAACTCTACTCCCATGAAGATTACATCCTAGCTACTCCTTTCTCAAGACATTCATTGTCTTATCAACCCTCTCCCCACTTCACTCTCATTCTTTTTCTCACCAGGGGATTCATCTTTTCAACCTTAAACTCAGGCTTTTGGGGTCTGAATCTTCCACTTAGCTCTTTCTCATGTAACACTTCCTAGCCTCTTTTCTTTTCTTTTCAAACACTTGAGCCTTTTTGGCTTCTTCTCTTTTCTTTTTACTTAGAGTCTAGACTTTTCTTTTCAAAACACAAGAGCTTTTCTTTCTTTACACAGCAGACCCCAAACCGCTTTCTTTTCTTTTCCATCCCCTGGTTCTCATCTAAAATTTCCTCTTTTCCACTCAGTGTCTCTCAAGAACTCTTCCTAGCCTACTCTAGACTCATGATGTTGAGCTAGATATACATGAGACCGTACTCTTGTCGCCCTAAACCCAACACTTTCTGTCAAGTTTATTCAGAAAAAGGCCTCACATCTCTCACTATAGTGTTTCAGGCTTCAAGGAAGGTTTAGTTAAAGGGAGGCAACTGTCTCAAGGTGATAGAACAGCTATTTGAGCTAGCAAAGAGTGGTAAAAGGGATAAGAGAGCTCAAATATTTTAAGGGTACCAATGAGTTCACAATGACATGCACAAGCAATGATAATTAGATTATCAAATTATGGTTCTCACTTAGATAAGGCTGGACTAATCAAAGCTTGATTCACTCAACAAGTTCAAAGCATGGATCAGTCTTGATTTCTTTCTTGTTTACACGCAGCAAAGAACTAGAAATTAGGGCAGTGAACCGAATTCTTAAAGTGATATTCTCTCAAGGAAAAATCTATCATTACTCCCTTGCATTGATGCAGCCTACATGAATATGCAACTAGACTCAATCCTAAAAATGAGAATGCAACTACATGAACATTTTTTTTTTGTGAAAATTTATTTTGATTTTTTGATTTTTTTTGGTTTTTTTTTTGTAATATGCACTTAGATGAAGCTACATGAATGCATGCAATAATGTGACTCAAGACTCAAAGTATAAAACAAGAACAGAGAAAACATGATTAGTAAAAGATGAAACTCCTCCCCCACACTTAAATAACACAGTCCCTTGTGTTATAGAAGCATGAGAAAGGAGTTAAAGCAAGACAAACAAGTAAAATGCAAAGAGAAAAAGAAAATCTTCATGCATATGTACAAGGTTTGGAGTGTTACCTAAGAGCTGTGGAAGTCTGACCCCAAAGAGTAAAAGGGGTTTGAAGTGTGACCGGATGGTGTCTCCCAGGAGTGATGGCTTGCCTCATCAGAACTGTTGTCAAGATCTACCCATGCTGTGCCATATGGGACCAGGGCGGTGCAGTTTATGGAACTCTCTCCAACCTCTTCTCTGTTCCTTGGTGAAACCGGTGTTGGAGACCCACCTTTGCAAGGGTTTTCAAGTTTCTTGATCCTCTTCTTCATCTCCTTGATGCACTTGGCCATCTTGTGGATTGTTTTATCCTGGTACTTGCACCATTGTTGGAGAACACCGATCTTTTGTTGAGCTCTAAACCCTGAAGTTCCTGGCTCCTCCCAGTTGTAATCATCAAAGTGATATCTGTTTCCACCAAAACGTTTTTGAGGTGGAGGCAGACCATCATCTCCAGCACCAGCAGCACTTGTGGTAGCATCTTCAGCGGTAGCTTTCTTTTCCTTGGAGGCTTCTTCTCTGCAAGCTTTATTGTACTTGAGGATTGGTGGATCAGTTTGGACATTGTACAGCTCTTCCTTCAGCAAGTAGAAGTGAATGTTCCTCTTTACATGGACTGTGGTGATGGAGGGATTGGGCAGGAGAGTTTGGACTGGCTCATCAATGAAATACTTGAAGTTGTAAACCAGCTTGGCACCAACTCTTCCTTAAAGAAAACCGATCTTACACAGATGGGCTTCATTAATCAGGTCAAACCTTGCCTTGTTCTCTTTGAATCTGTACCCCTTTGCCTTCAAGATCTTTGTTACAACCCATCCATGGGTCAGCTTTGCATCCTTCTTTGTTGAACCCCAAATGCACTTTTTTTAGAACATCAAAGACTTTGCTAATTGAGAGGCAAGGCAAGGTGTGTAAGCATATCCTTCATAGGGCTTCCCATCTTCATGAGTTGGCATCAACTGTTTCAGCCCCACACTAAGGAGATTCAGATCACCCTTGTGAACTCTCCCAACATCAAGTTTGAAGAAGAATCTGTGAGAGAGGATCTTGTGGACATATCTCAGCACTGGGTTCCTTATCCAAGAGGACTTAGCTGCTCCAGCTGTGTACTTCCCAGAAGCTATTGATCTCCATAGAGCCTGAATATCTTCCTTTCTAAGATTAATCTGGTTGGAGAGAGGGACGTTCTTAGGCGCAGAAAACCCAAATATCTCATTCAGTTCCCTGAATGACACTGTGTAGTCCTTTCCTTTCACAGTAAACTCCATGTAACCAAGACCATACCCTTGAAGAATCCTTGAATCCCTTGGGTAGTACATAAAAGCATCAAAAGAAGCCAAAAACTCTTGAGACTCCTCTTCATATGCGATTTCTCTCATCTCCAAAAGTGATTCAATGCCCATGTTCCCAAGCAAAGTTTTTACATCTTCATAGATGCCAATCTTCTTCAGAAAGTCCACATCAGGGAACCTCCCTCGCTGGATCCCCATTTGTTGAAACTTGGCCAGATAATCAGGTGTTTCTGGTTCAGTTTTCTTGATCCTCTTTGATGCCTCTTCAATGGTGCCTTGGGAACCTCCAGCTGAGCTGCTTGAGCCACTCTCAGTCTGTTGATCATCAGATACCACAGCCAACGGTTTCTCTGTCTTCTTTTCGGACAAAAATCACGGATGAAATCGAGAATGTTGCCGATTTATGAACAATTAAGGAAGACATTTTATGACAAAAAAAAAATCTCCAACCAACCCATCTAGAAATTTAAAGAAAGCCATGTGAGTTTGGTCTCTATGTATGTATGTATATCTCATGAATTGCTTAATTATATTCATATTGGTCTTGATCTAGCAGAATATAAATACTCTGAAACCGCAATAGAGGAGCTAGGAGCAATGGCATATGTAAGGTACAATAGAAGCAAATATTTCTATAATTTTGGTGGAGATACTTGATCGCGTGAGGTGTGTTTGCTGGATTCTGTAGTATCTCATACTTAAATTATGAACATGTTCTCAGGAATTATCAGTTGAACACTTTTGTTTGACAGTAGGTAGTTGCTAACTCTTTTAAAACTGTTCGAACGCTCCATTAATAAAGTCTCAGAAGAATATTTTGTATAATTAGAATATGAGTTTCATCTTCTGTGTATTGGTGCCAAGGTTGTTTAATCCTCTACAAAAGCCTCTTAAATATGTAATGAAACTGACCAAAACCTGTTTAATTCGTGTTCTTCTTCTCATTGACTAGGTATGTTCTAAAATATATGTAATATTTTGGGCCGTCTGATCTTTTATTGTTGAATAGAAATTGTGATACATGTTATTCATAGGTTTTTCCCTGTCAAAAGCTAGAAGGAATAAGTGATTATGTGCACCAACATAAGTAGTATGGCTAATTTTTGTTTGTCATTTTCAAAACTGACTGGTTTTGTCGTGTTGAATTTGCTTCCGATTAATCAAACAATGGTTTCCTTTAGCAGAAGCAAGACAGGTTGTCAAGATTAAGAGAGAGAGAGAGACTAACTTAGCTTGACCGACTCTGTCTAATGTTAACAAATAATAAGAGACTAACACAATCATATAAAGCAAATCAATTTTTATTATACGATCGAATATGTATTCAGTAAATTAGGAACTACTCGATATCAATCACACAGAGACAATACAAGATAATTAGTTCATAAACAAAATTTAGATTTACTTCACTTATCTTGAAAATAAGTTTGAACAATATACTTTGCTTCGTTCAATGTTTGGATCCTACATAAAAATTAGAAATAAAAACCTAAAAATTCATTCAAATCTATATTAAGAAGACTGAATGCATCTGAAAATAATATCTACTTCAAAGTGGACTACTATGTAAAGAATAGAGATAATCACTACAAGAATTTAGGCTTTTTATACTATAATATAGCGTTTATAGCCAACAAATTACGTAGTGTCACCGCAAATTACTGGTGGAGCTCAAAACAAAATCGCAGTGGGATACATTGGATTGCTTGGGAGAAGCTTTGTATGCCCCATGATATGGGAGGTCTGGGATTTCGTGACCTCCAGGATTTTAACCTTGCCCTCCTAGCTAAGCAACTATGCCGACTCATCCAGTACCCCTCATCCCTTTTGGCCCGGGTCCTAAGGAGCAGATATTATAGACAATCTGAACCCTTGGAAGAGAGAAACGTCTATTCTCCATCCTATGAATGGCGAAGCATTCTGGCGGCAAGACCGTATCTTAAGATGGGCCTGAGGAAGACAATCGGACCAGGCCTGAACACGAAAGCCTGGAGCAAACCCTGGGTTCCAGATATCAGAGCTCGACCGCCAAGAGCAGCACCCCAAGTTGGATATCCAGATCCGGGGGCCCTCGTCTATCATTTTATTCATCACGATACAAAGCAATGGAATGTCCCATTACTGAATCAGTTCTTCCAACCTGAGGATGTAGCCCTCATACTTGGGTTGAGACCTAGCAGAAACCGAACTCTAGACGGCTACGCATGGAATCACTCCAAATCAGGGCTATACACTGTTAAATCAGGGTATGATCTGATTAGAGGAATAAAGCTGGATAACACTACTAGCGAAATGAGAGAGCCAAGTATCACGGCACTTCTTAGCCAAGTTTGGGAGAGTCAGCACGCCCGGAAAAATGAGACACTTTATGTGGCAAGCATTATCGGGATGTGTTGCCACCTGCAAAAACCTTACTTACCGACATTTGGGAAATGACAAAAGTTGCCCCCGATGTGGAGACCCTGAAGAATCCATTAACCATCTCTTATTCTTATGCCCCCCGGCCTTACAGGTCTGGGCGTTATCGGACTTCCCGTCCCTTCCGGGCCACTTCCCGAGTAATTCTATTTACCAAAATATGAGCTTTCTCTTTTGGGGAACCAAAGAGATTGGCATGACGGATCCCAACAGAGATTTATATCCGTGGATTCTTTGGTTCATTTAGAAAGCAAGGAACAACAAGATCTTCAATGGGAAAGAAATTTCCCCGGAAGATACCTTGCTTCACGCAAGAGTTGAAGCAGATTGTTGGAGGACCGCAAACCAACCAGAAGACGATGGTGTTGAAGTTGGTGGCTCCCCAGGAGCTCCCCCGACACCGATTTCTACATCCGAAAATCGGCGGATTCCGATATGCCGGATCGATGCGTCTTGGATAGACCACGGACCGGTTAGTGGACTCGGGTGGACACTGGTGGATGGTGGAGGTACAGAACTGGTCGGTCAGCAGGGATGTCGTAGAAGTCTCTCAGCACTTCATGCTGAGATGGATTGCCTCATATGGGCTATGACTGTTTTGAGAGATAGGCAGATCTCCTCGATTCACATTAAGACAGACTGTTTAGACCTCGTAACCATGTCTGAGACTCCGGAAGATTGGCCTTTGTTTGTGTCTGAGCTGAACAGCTTGGATATCCTCCGCAAGAGCTTCTTGGAATTTCGGCTTTCTCATATCCTTAGGAATTAAAACATCCGGGCGGATAGTCTTGCAAAAGGAGCCCGCGTGAGAGGAGAAATTTTCATCCACATCGATCATATTGAGCCTGTCAATGGCGGTTCACGGACCTCCTCTACGATTGGCTAATAGTAATGTAATAGATGGGTAGAGAAAAAAAAAAAAAAAAACCATAATGCTATAGTTGTAATACCACTTTTTTAAAGATAGCGTTTGTATATCTGGAAACGCTATCATATATTGGTATTGAATATTAAATAATTTTCATCTCGATACGGGTTATTTTTAATAGCATAGAGGTGAATGTAAACGTTATTATATGTTTAAGAATTAATAAAACTAATTTGGAACCTACGACACTTAGAAAAATTTAGGCTCGAAAATTGATTTTGGCTCCAACGAAAATCCCCAATTTGCATGACCTAAACTTTCTTCTTTTTCCCTGTCTCTCCATTTCGCTTGATTTTCACAATCTCCGCCAAATCTGATGCTCTACCACCCAAATCTCAGTCACATTACCTAATTCCAGACCTAACATATCGTGTTCTGCTCTCTAGTCTCCCATCTCACTTCTCTCGTGTCGGAAAATCTCAGTCTTCCTCACCAAAAAATCCTGCAAAACCTGCAATTCAGCTTCCCAGTTCACTCGATTTAGACTAACACACCTTTCCGAGTTGACCATTGACCTCGCAATCCATACGCTTTTCCGAGTTCGCGAAGAAATCCCACTGAGCAAAGGTAATGTCGAGTTTTTCTTTATTAACGAAATTGTATTAATGTTCTGGGTTCTTGCATGTTGAAGTGATTTTTTTCGATAGGGTTTACTTGCAGGGATATTTCGTTTCAGATTAAGTGTTTCTGTTACAGGTACTATGCCTTCGAAGGTTATGTATTTCTTTTGATTTAGTCGAGTTAATTGTATCTTTGATTTAGTAGATTTATATTTTTGCTTACTTTTGTAGATCAATTTAGCGAAAAGAGAAGACAATCTATAAGGTATCTTACTCAGACTCGATTCTTATCATAGACCTCGTTCTATATTGTAGCTGTTCCTTAACTTACGTCCCCTTGATATCAACTTGTATGCACATTTGGTCGGATTGGTCAAATTCCGTTAGGTCCAAATGCAGCTGCTGTAATGGTGACCTCCGTATCAGTCATAGAAGCATCTGTCTGGCGACCAACTCCAACTATTGTTACGCTTAAACAGGCGGTAGGAGTTAAAATCGCATGGCCCTGTGAGAAGATAAAATTGGACGAGGATGATGACTTAACCCAACCTCCAGATACTGTCTGATCAGAGGTAAATTACTACTGCTTTTGTGTCCCTCTAAATTCATATAAATTACTTTAACTATTATAGCTTGCATATTTATATATGTTCATGAATCATTAACAAACGGATGGATCAGTTGGAAGAGTTCAAATTTATGAGTATTGGAATGGAGGTGATGAATTAATAGCTCAGGGTAAGTTGTTGTCAACTGACCCTAAAAAAATGGTGAACGAAATTCCACTGGGACCAAATGCTGCAATTGTTACGGTCGAGATGGTGGTTAAACCTGGAGCTTATTTATGGAGACCAAGCCCTGCAATCTCTTTGATGAGTGATGCACTAAATCGGACCATCGCATGGCCTATTGATAGGTTACGCCTACCAGATCCACCTATAATGGATGAATCAAACAGAAAGTCATCTGAGGTTAGTTTTTGCAACTTGTTTTTACAACGTATTTGGATTGTAATTATGGTACTTAGTGAGTTTGAGAAAATCTATATGTTGACTTCATTGTGTTGATGTTGCCGTGATGCTTAGAGTGGTAGTCCCAGCACTGGTAGTAGTGGCAAAGGTGGTAAACAGAAGTGCGTTCTGTTAGATATTGAAAATTCTGGTGCGAGAGTTGCAGTAGGTCGTGTGTTTTCAACAGATCCAACCGAGAATGTCCATTTTGTCCCTTTAGGTCCAAACGCTACCAAGGTCTGGGTAGAGATTTCGAAGTTTGATGATGCACGAGTGTGGAGAGCCAATTCTGAAGTTGAATGCATAGCTGATGCAGTAGGATCTACATTGGCGTGGCCTAATGACAAGATTATATTCATGTGAGACTAGTATGAAACATTTGGACTTAAGCTTGTGTTGAGTTTGTTGTAGTGACTAATAATATGTCGAACTTGAGCTTGTGTTCAGTTTGTTGTGTAATATTAATGTTACATTATGTTTAGTATTAATAAAATATTTTGATTTTATCAATATAACAGCTATATAATAGAATCGTATATATATATATATTTGCAATTAAATTTAATTACAATTAATTCATATTAACCATTACATTTATATAAATGCTATAGTAATACTAATAATAACAATTTTTGAAACGCTGTAAATAATACCAATAATAACAAATAGAATACGCTATTATATAATCTTTTAATGCAGAGAGATAACCGCTATCGTATATGAAACTACAATAGCATACCAAAAAACCGCTATCTAAAGTTCATGACCTATTATGACGGGCGCAGATACAGTGCTTATTAAAACACTATAATATCGTTAGATAACGTTATTCAGATGCTAAGAAAGCTCTTTTTTCTTGATACAAACTAAATTCCAAAAAATAGAGACATAAAAACTATATGGTAAGTTCACACAGACAATCATAGTAGTTATGCATAATTTCTACTAATCATATATTTCTTAAAAATAGATAGATACACTCATCAAAATATTCATAGACCAAATATCTTTAATATAAAACTTATTGAAAATACATTATAACTTAAAAGTTATTGAAATTATATTTTTTTATTTACAAAATTCAGTAAAAGAAAAACGGTAAATCAGGATGTAAAAAAGTTATTTTTTTCTTGAATAACATTTTATACAAAAAAAAAATTAAAACAATTTTAAATATTTATAAAATTAATAAATATTATAATCTAAATCGTGCGTAATGCGAAAATACCACCTAGTAATACTAATAAAAAGTAATAAAATAAAAGAATAATCATATTGGAGGGATTGAACTTTCGTAATGGGGGTCAAACGTGAACTAAATCAACCAAATATCTACAAAAATCTTAATTACACATAGCAAAACTACTAAAATATAAAATTAAGTTCTATCATGTGACACCCCATTCTTTAACGTGGGTTCGCCTCTGTTCATGAACATTGTTCTTGGTTAAACATAACTCATTTTAAGAGTCAAACCAGACCTTCACTGAAACTATTTGAATCGGAGTTCCTCAGCTAGCTCTATATTCCAAATCCTCTATTTTAATGCTTCCATAAGAGCTATATGTACAGACTCAGTAGTAGATAGAGTCACCACATGTTGTAATCCTGAATTCCAGCTGATAGCATTCCCTCCTAACTGCAAACACATACCATGTTATAGAGTTTCTTTAATCTATCTAGATCAGACGCAAAGTCAGGTTCAGAGAATCCTTATGTTTTCCTGAAAACAAGCGTCAAATCTGATGTGGTATGTGCGGGGTTGTAAAGTTTTACACTAAAAGAAATCAATAAAACCGCAAGTGCACACCTAATTGACTGTAGTATTTAGGGATCGAAACCACAAGGAAATGTGATATTTTCTTGCAAAAGCCTTTGAAAGAATTATGAAGTAAGAAAGTCTAGAACTGGTCGAATTTTAAAGGAGTTTTGGGTTGTCACTAAAACATAACTTCTAAACTGAACGGAAAAAGGAAAAACATTTAAGAAAATTGACTTGGAAAACTAAAAAAACATAATCTAAAACTCGAATGAAAATAGGCTAGAAATGAAAAATAACCTAATGACTAAAAGCTTCAGCAAATAAAAACGAGATGCTGGGTTTTTAGGAAATTTATCTCCGGAGATGAACGATTCAAAACATTTCTAAAAAGTAATTTAAAAGATCCTAGCTAAAACTTTTAGAACTCGAGTGACAAACGTATGACTACGCCATTGTTGTGGTCATAACCAACTATCTCTCGCAACCTTTACCAGTAAGTTTCCACTCTGGTCCGGGAAGGGAAAAGATGCGATTTTACTTAAGACTCATCAACATTCTCAGCTCACCCATAGGTAGGTTTCCACTCCTATGGCAGAATTGCTTTTCTAAAACTATATCTAACTCCTAATGAAAACTTTCGCAACGCTACAAACCTAAATTAGATTATAGTTCTTGGCGCTACTCCCATGCATTAAAAATAAGTTTAGAAGAAAAAGTTCTAGGATTCGGCTTCATTAGCTAATGGAATCCTCATCGAACATATATAACCCCCACTGAAAATCTCTTAAATCCAACAATAAAACTACTCAGACATGATTAAAAAAAGCAAAAATATTTTATTGAAAAGCTGCATTAAAATCGATATGAAAAAAAGGGTTCAAGAGATAGATTTCTATCTCCCTAAACCTAAAGCAACTCTAAAGAATGAAAAGTACTTAACAATTAAAAAGAAATCATAAGCATAAAATAGCATACAACTTAGGGTTCCTAAAACATGTATTTATAGTGCTCAAGTCATTTCTGGATGTCACTTAGGGTTTCTTCAAATGAGGAATTGATTTGGGCTTGGAAATTGGCTTCAAGGCCGAACAGACAAATCTCCGCGGTCAGAAGAGACGTGACCGGTATAAACTGGGTGCTGGCCGCGGTCAGGACTGCTTGCCGTCTGGTTGACGGAACATCTTGCTCTTCGCTTAACTTTCGATTGAGCCGTTGGTTTGTCTTGATGTCAATTGTGCTGGAAAGCTGTTTGTTCCATCTTTAAGGTCGCCACATTTGAGCTGGATCAGACGGTGAGAAGGTCTTCATTTGAGGGTTAACTTCTGACGGGTTGACTCTGAGCTGAAAATCTGGTATTCTATTCATTTTTCTAAGCTTTTTTCTGAGTTTCCTGAAGAGATTCTTGAAACTACAAAAACTAGAAAATCATAATTCAAGCAATTAAAAAGAAATAAAAAGCATTGAAAGGTATTTAAAAATGATCCATAAAAGCGGTCAAAATATGGTGTTATCAACTCCCCCAGACTTAAACTTTTGTTTGTCCTTAAACAAAGCAAAACTAAAATCAGGTGAAGTGAAAACAAAAATAGGAAATGCACAAATCTCAGAGACATGAACCTCTAAACTATGACCATAGATCATACAACAATCACAACTTAGTCTAGAAAATTCTCACCAAGACACAAAAGATATTAGTCCACTTTTTCCGTCATGCAAAACTTAACAATCTAAATCTCGATTCCAGTCAACTAGCTCTCTACATTCATTAAGTGCAATAGTGAATTCTCATTAAAGACATCATTCAGAGTAGATGGCGTTTGGTATTAAGAGCTGTTTAAATGGTGGAGTTAAAGTGTTTATGGTTACCTGAAGATCTGGAGGATGCAAGATATTATGCAAAACCGCAAGAGAGAGTAGATTTGTTGATGTCCACAATTTTCAGTCACTTCTCCTTGCCAATGCTGTTGCACAATCCTTCCTCTTTTTTCGAAAAACAGCTGTCCCCCCAGACATAGATCTTTTCCGAGAAATCAGAGAGATGATCTCCAAAACTCTAAATACTCAAACTAATGCTTGCCTTAAGGATAAAACTCAATCCTCCTAGACTATCTAAGGTTTTATTTCCTTTAGTTTCTTATTTTTTCTCCTTTTTTTTTCGTTTTTTTAAAGGGGAAACAACCTTTTATTCAGAGAGAGAGTTTAAGGGACGAAAATGTACCAGGGTTTGGCGATTTTTCTGAGGCAAACCAAGTTTTCTCCTTTGTTGAATCATTCCGGTGAATTCACAGGTTTCCGTCTTCAGTAACTGAAACCGCGTTGATCCTCTTTCTCTCTGACGTTTTTGCACATATCTGCATATAGGACAATGAAAAACAAGAATGCATGTGGCTTGAAAGAGGTTAGGTTAGGTGGGAAACTAGCTAAATTTGAACTAGCAATTCAGGATCAACAAAGAATGGTAAAAGGATAAAATATTCCGAAATGTATGATTCGTTTCCCTGATCTAATGCTTCAATGAGAAAAATAAGTCAATGTTAAGTCCAGATAAACCAGAGCTAGAGTATTCCTTCATCTAAATCGAAATCATTTAAATTCCTCTGGGCTACTTCGTTTCAAATGTGCTTAGCTACCGCCTAGTTTAGTCCTAAATCACAAATGAGCATGCCACTAGGATTAGTCTAAAAGCACACAATCAACTATCATCGATTTATGTTCACTATTGATATATCATGGTTTTTGTGGTTTTTAACCATGGTATAGGTCTTATTTATAGAGTCTTTTTAGTGTTTTTCGAGTCTTTTGGAGTCTTTACAGGTCTTAGGTACGTTTAGAGCTTATTTGGAGATTTTGGAGCACTTTGGAGCTTAATTGGAGATTTTTGAGCACTTTGGAGCTAAATCAGCATCAAATTCGCGAAGGACAAATCATGTGTATTGGTGTCGCTCGACACCACGGAGAGTGACGCTCGACACTTGTCAAAGAAATAAGGAAAACGCGGTTTGTTTCCTGTTTGAAGAAGGAGTTGGGCCCAGAAGTTTCCAAAGAAACTCAATATGTGTTTTCGAGATATAAAATAGGGGTTTTAGTCTCTTTTGAACCTTACCTTAGATTTTCGAGCAAGACATCTTTGTGCTTTAGGCTTTTTGCGATTTTGAGAGCTTGTGGAGACAAGTCTGAACTCTGTTCGTTTAGAAAGAAGATTTTGAACCCCTTTATTTATTTTATTCATCAAGATTTCGAACCCCTTTATTTATTTTATTCATCTTCTTATTGCAATCTATTCAATCATGTGTGTTGTTTAAATATCCATGTCTGAGTAGTTAGCCTGTTAGGTTTAGGGTTCTCATTAAGGTTTTCTCTGGATGTCTGATTGATTGATTAAGTTAGGGTTCATATCTGTTAGTTCTCACCATAGGTTGTTCTTAAAGCTAATTCTGGACTGATCACCTAGAACTTAGATCTTAGGTTGCTTAATTGACACGAAAGTGTAATTGAATAACTGGAAAGAACTTAGGGTGAGCAAAGTAGCTATTCGCAAAGGAATTTGGTTTAGATACTTTGTGAAAATATTGAACTTGAGCATTAAAGCTGGTTTAAATCTTTAGGGTTTGCAAAGGAATTTGGAATTCTAGGATTTTAACTTAGATAATTCTCACAACGGAAGTTGGTTAAT